TGTGTATGTAATCTGTCTGAGTGTAAGTCACATGTATGCGTGTAGGCTACACATGTGTGTGGGCATGCATGGTGTATGCTGCATGTATGTGTGTATGCTACATGTATGTGTGTATGCTACATGTACGTGTGTATAGTACATATATGTGTATATGCTACATGTGTGTGTGTATGCTACATGCATATGTGTAGGCTACATGTACGTGTGTATAGTACAAGCATGTGTGTATGCTACATGTATGTGTGTATGCTACATGTACGTGTGTATAGTGCATGCATGTGTGTATGCTACAAATACATGTGTGTGTATAGTACATGCATGTGTGTATGCTACATCTATGTGTGTATGCTACATATACATGTATGTGTGTATAGTACATGCATGTGTGTATAGTACATGCATGTGTGTATGCTACATATACATGTGTAAGCTTCTTGTTTATTCATGCCAATAGTTTGATTTGGCGTGTGACAGTTTCAAGTTATAGTACAACCGCAACATGGTCGACGCATCGTTTAAGGCGTTCATGTCTGTTGTGAACGTCTTCGCTGAGTTACGTGTTTCTGCTGATTCATACGTATGTAGGTACCAGACATTTACATATGTATGTACCAGACATTTACGTATGTAAGTACCAGACATTTACGTATGTAGGTACCAGACATTTACGTATGTACGTACCAGAAATTTACGTATGTATGTACCAGACATTTACGTATGTATGTACCAGACATTTACGTATGTACGTACCAGACATTTACGTATGTATGCACCAGACATTTACGTATGTATGTACCAGACATTTACGTATGTATGTCCCAGACATTTACGTATGTAGGTACCAGTCATTATTGGTACGAGTGTAAGGTAGGCTCTTTCATCCTGGAGGTTCACGACACGTGAGTCATGCAGGCGTAGGACATTGCTACTAAACCCTAAATCCTAAAACTCTAAATTCTAAACACTAAAAACCCTAAAACCATAGTTGTCATTCACGTACCTGCGCACGTACACGCACTATATACCGTACTATCCCTACCACGCATCCCACAGTTTGGCGATGAGAAGAAGGTGGTGCGTGTGTACAAGGAACTGGAGAAAAGGGACCGTTTTGTCCCGGACATCTACGTGTACAACGCCCTGATCAAGCTGTACACGGTACTGGACAATAAACGAGGAGTCGACAGCCTGTTTGAATCCATGGAGAAGCACAAAGTGCGCCCCAATGCCAGCACACTGACGCTGTTGATCAAGTGGAAGATCCAGGAGCCTGAGTATGTCGTAGATGTAGTGTGCTATTTATAGATGTAGTGTGTTGTGCTATTTATAGATGTAGTGTGCTGTGCTTTTTATAGATGTTGTGTACTTTTATATTTATAGATGTAGTGTGCTGTTCTATTTATAGACGTAGTGTACTGTGCTATTTATAGATGCAGTGTGCTGTTCTATTTATAGATGTAGTGTGCTTTGCTATTTATAGATGTAGAGTGTTGTTCTATTTATAGATTTTGTGTGCTGTGCTATTTATAGATTTTGTGTGCTGTTCTATTTACAGATGTAGTGTGCTGTTCTATTTATAGTTGGTAGTGTACTGCTTTATTTATAAATGTAGTGTGCTGTTCTATTTATAGATGTAGTGTACTGTGCTATTTGCAGATGTAGTGTGCTGTTCTATTTCTAGTTGTAGTGTACTGTTCTATTTCCAGATGCAGTGTATTGTGCTATTTATTCATGTAGTGTACTGTTCTATTTATAGTTATATTGTACTGTTGATTGCTGGGCACAGTGTGTTGCATTGATTCACGTATCAGTGCCACGTTTGTTCAAAGTCCTTCTATCAGCCACTTGTCTATATAGTGATACACCACTCTCTCTCTGTGTGTGTGTACATGAGTGTCTGTGTAGTACACTCGCGTATACAATTGTTTCTATTCGTCTGTTTGGTTGAACACACACATACACCACTCTCTCTGTGTGTGTGTACATGAGTGTCTGTGTAGTACACTCGCGCATACAATTGTTTCTATTCGTCTGTTTGTTTGAACACACATACACCACTCTGTGTACATGAGTGTTTGTGTAGTACGCCCGATTATTGATTGGTTCGATTTCGTTCATTGGCTACACAGCAACTACTACGACTGCCTTGACTACATAGATGACTTCGCCAGGATAGGTAAGCGCCGACTGGGCTTTATTATGGCAACCAGATGCTATTGCTAACATGTGTTGTGATTATGAACACTCCATTGTGTCTACTACTAACACGTGCAGTGTTTATGTACACTTCGTCGGGTCTACTACTAACATGTGTTGTGATTATGTGCATTTCATTGGGTCGATTACTAACACGTGTTGTGATTATGTACTCTTCATTGAGTCTACTACTATCACGTGTTGTGATTATGCATACTTCATTGAGTCTTGTATCCACGTGCTGAGGTGTTGTTCTATTGTCTGAGTGACCTGAGTATCGGTAGAGGACATCGGCGTTAAACCACAGTTGGCTGTGTCGGGTTTAGACTACCTTTGAGATAACTGTTAGTTTTACCGCACCTGTAGATGTTAACCACGGCCGGTTCTTCACCTTATCTAAACCCTTAACCCTGAACCCTAAGCCCTAACCCTAAACCCTAAACATTTGTTATGTGCAAGTCGTGTACTGCAAAGTGCGTTGTACCCACCACATAGTACACATTCTCACGTCTTGTGGGGGAATATTGCTGTGCGAGTGTGTGAGAAGACACGGCAATGCTATAACATGTATCTTATTTGTTACCTGATTTCATATATATATATATATATATATATAGTACTATTAATTCGTTACCGTATTATTTATATATATATATATATATATATAATAATATATATATATATA